GGGTCTCAGTGCACTGCAGTAAACCCTGGGAGGGCTGTGCATGTTCCATATTTCAGCTGTATTTGAATACCAATGTGAAATGAGACAGCTGAAACGGCATCCTGTGTTCTTGTAAATCCACACTTGTCAGTGCCAAATGCCCTCGTAAATGCAAGCGTGAATGGCCGGGTATTCATGCGAGCTTCCTCAGCGAACCTTAAAGGATGTGGTCTGAAGGTTATCATCGACTCAAAATTTCAAAGCAGAAAGAAGCACACAAAATCCCTTCTGTTGTCTCACTGTGATCGTGGCATTGTTACACGTGACATGTATAATTCCTTCTTAATGTCATGCTATTAACCCAGTAAAAAGAACAACTGCTGTGAATGTTAAAAGTGCAGGATGAGGTAGAGGGATTAAACTGCTTCCAGCTCTTTTTCCGGTGTACCTATATCTTAGTTTCTCTCAACACATGCAGGCTGTTGTCTTAAGCAACATTAATTGTATTTAGTTAGGATGTCACCTTTGGCCTGAAGAACAAAAACAGTAGCAGGGAGCTGCTCGACAGGTCCCCTGTGAGTCACAGTGGGAATAAAGTTGGACTTAATAACAGGAAACGCGGTGGTGTTTTGGGAGATTATCTCATTGTATTCACCAGGTCGGTTACACGGGGGGAAACAGCGCCGTTACCCACTAGCCAAATGTTTGTTTCAGTTATGTTTGTACATCAACTGCTACACCATTTCCCCCCACGGGAATGAATGATTTCATCATGTTATCTCCTCGTTATCCATCAAACTCTCTCAGTTTGTCTTTCAGAAAAAGACATCAGCCCTGACAGGTTTGACATCTGACTGCAGAGTCCCTCGTGGTTAATTGACGACACGTCTGATCAGGGTTCAGAGTCGGGGCTGAGAAGAAAAGCCAGGGAGGGGGAGCGAGACAGAGGCAAGGCGAGGTTGGAAACAGGATGGAACAGCCTTCTGTTTTATTCTAAATTTGATATGTACAGGAAGAAGTGGCTGCATACATTTCTTAATAGATCATGTAAAAGTTTTCTGGAAAAAAAACCCCAACAACAACAAACAACAATTGCACATCAGCATCTAATAACTTCCATTTGTTTTGAGATACTTTAAAACACATCCTGCTGCAGTTTGTTTGAAGGCATATCAAACAGTACAAATACAATGATAACTGTCCGCAAGTGTTGGCTCTTACAAATATTAAAAGAAAAACGTTCAGGAAAGTGTACCCTTAATATGGATTTAACATGTTAAAAATAAAAATCCACTGCAATTTGTGTGCTGCAGTGTCACCGACAGAAAAAAAATCACATCATAACCTTCTTTGTGTAACATTTTGTGATATTATCTCAGGCACTTGATATAACAGGAACAGCTGAGCAGCTAAATCCACTGTATTTAGAGCACAGGTCAAATACATCCTTCTAAATATGCTGGTCTGCAATTTGTGTTCACAGCAGGAACCAAACACTTCGCTAAAATAATGTGCGTAATGGAGAATGCTTTTACTCTCATCTGCACAGCTTGTGTCATTTTTTTGGTAAGTTTTTCATCAGCTTCATTCTCAGGTGGGTTTAAAAACCTTCAAACTGGGAAGACGCCCCCTCCCCAAAAAATCAGTTTCTATCATTGCACCCATGCACACAGAAATATGTGTGCGCTGAACAATATTGCTAAGTTTAAACCTGGAACAATGCCACTAAAGGTTCAATTTTACTTCATCTCATTCATTACCCTTACCAGGCCCGCATCTATCCCAGCAAGGGTCTTCGTTAACCAGCAGGAGATCATGTTTATCATGCAGCTTCCCTCTGCATATGGAGATGGTGTGGGAGTGGAGGGTGATTATGCACTGCCCGTTTGTTCTCTGTAGCTTTTTCTGTATTTCCCTTTTGTTTAAAATTTGACCCCTGCCCCGTTTCATTTGTTAGCTCGGAGGCAGACACAATCACGTCACAAACATTAGCGCTGTCAAAGAAAGACGAGCGCCGACTAAGAGGTTGCCACCTACGGCAGCAATTATAATAGTGGGCTGGTGGCAGTATTTATTTATTTTTTAAAAAGTATGTGTCATCGATGCCCAAGCGTTTTTTCCCAGTACACCTACAACAGCTGTTTTCAATCAGCAGCTGCAGAGTTGGGCCAGAATGGAAATTTTTATCTAGTCTTGCAGATATTTCTTGTTTAATTTGTTCCGATTTGTTTTTTTTAAAAGTTCTGTTTCCTCATTAAATGGAGACCAACAACAACAACAACAAAAGAAATAGAGAAAAAAGTCCTTCTCAAGGCTGTCACAGCAAAAACCTACGAAACCAGTTCATTTTGAACAGAATCAGTGGGTTTGCCAGGAGGGCCGACGTAAATCTGTGTGCAACCTTTTCATTTTCATAACAATCTTCCTTCAATTTTATGCGGAGCCATTGGGAGAAAAGGGGAGGGAGACATTTGAATAAATCAAACGTAAATAGTTAGCTAACAATAGACAGTTCGACAGCAAGCAAAACAAACTGAAGCGCTATTGTGACTAGTGTGCGTTAGCATTATTCCAGCCTGAAGATTGCTGTGGAATCTTCACCTGTGTCACACAAAACCCCTGCTGCCCGGAAAAGCCACTTCCATGGGAACTCCATGCAGGGCGAACGGCCAGATGACCCTCTCACCTTGCATAATGATTAATGAAAGCCTGTTTGTTTACTTGTGAGCCTGTGGAAAGATTCCATGTTTGTACCAGCTGCACAGAGAAACAGGTGGTAAACACAAAGTTAGCATAACCCACTAAGCCTAATTGCCATATTAAGGGAAACATTTCAGGATGGTTAAAAGGGAGTTAAAAATGTTCTAAACGTTTGTTTGGAAAGAAAGGCTTCTTTCGTTCTTCTATTGTCAAGAGAAAAGTCCTATTTCATCGACTTATGGCAGAAAAAGCAAACTCAGAACTAGACACTGCAAAATGTGGGCCAGTAAATAAGCTGTTGTGCCATTTTGTTCTGCCCTGTAAAAGCTTTTGGCATTCAGATTATCTACTGACTGATGCTTTTTTAAAAGTATGATAGCCCGTTTACCTGTTCCCTCTTTTTAAATTATTATGGAGAATGGGGCTGACTAAATGCTAACAACTGCAAAAATAAAATACAAAAAGCAATTATAGCAATTGAAAGCAATTAACTCCCAAGGACAGTTTTGCCTTTTGTTAAAACTGGGAAAAAGCTCCAGCTAATCTCACACTCGGAGGCTCGTTGTCTCTCTTCCCATCTTTATTCTGTCTGTCTTTTTTTTTTTGGCTTTTATTCCACTCTTTATGTCAGAAGCCGGGCCCTCTGTCGATGCCTCCGGTGGCAGCGTTCTTTGGCTCTGGCAGGCAGCAGGTGGCTTGTGATGAAAAATTCAGTGCAGAGCCTGACTCGGGAGACGAGGAGGAGGAGGGTGGCACCGTGTAGCAGGAGGAAGAGTAAGGGGAAGCGAAGGTGTGAGATGTGCAAAGAAGGGAGAGCAGGGGAGCAGAGGATAAAGGTAGGGGTGTTGAGGTAGAAAAAGAAAATAGGAGCGTAATGAACAGGGAGAAGACGAGAACAACGCAGAGAGGATGAGGGCTCCAGACAGACAGGCGGGCGGGCCGGCAAGTCAAGCCCGGAGCCAAGCAGAGCGGCCAGGCAGAGGATCAGAGCTGTCTCCCCTCTCTGCCTGAGCCTCCTCCATGAAGATAACACAAAATATGAATCATTTATGAGGGGGTCTTTTTTATTAATAACACACACAATGCGCCCCGCTTTCTTTCACACACTCTGCCTTGTTTTCTGTGCTCCCTGTGGAGTACTGCGCGAGGTGTGTTGCTGTGGAGAGACGACTAAAAGTGGAGAAAACAGAATGCTGATAAACACCGGCAGCATCTGTCGGGGCTGAACGTGACAGGTGGGCAGAGTCATCCGCGGGACACATTCTTGATAGTGAAACATGTACCTTGTCACATGCCCACATGCAAAACCCACACAGAAACTTGCGCCTCCCCGTGGGCTCAAAAAGGCGCCCACTCACTTGCCTGTCTGCCCATTTGATTGTCAGTACACGACGATGCCAGATCTCGATGAATCAGAGTCCTGGACGACTGCGAACAAGCTTCGTGTCCGTGAATGCAGAGAAGGCACTGTTTGTAGGAGGGTGAATGACTGACTAGTATAGGTCATCCTCGCAGCGGAGGACTGAACACAAACACCCACATACCGAGTACACTTCACAACTGTTTACCTATAAGCTCACTGCTAAACTATAAGACCTCTAGGTTGTCCCCTGTCAAGATTCATAGTGTCTATTTTTCTTTCTTCAGAACAATCCCCTTGGCTCTAATCGTTTCGTTTGGCTCTTCATCAACCAGTCCAATGATGCTCTTCAAGAATAAAAAAGTCTTCCTTTCTCAGAACCCAATCTATTAAGCCTCGCTAGCTGTGAAGGCGAAGGTGGCACGTCGTGTCGGTACGGCCCTTTAGGAGAGGCGGGGTCTTTCAGATGTGCCGTGTACCCCTCATAGCTGCTGTTGCCAGCACTTTCCTGCATTAATTTCCCTTTGGCTTCTTGTTCTCTGCGTCTCTGCTCCTGCCTCAAGAGCTCCTGGGCCTCCAGAAGGACTCTGGCATTGACACCGCCTCCACCTGGATAGCCGTTCCTGGAGCCCTGGTAGCTGGAGTACCTGGGGTTGTCCTTAGCAGTCTGGAACCCTTCACCAGGTGGGTACGCCTTATCCCAAGAGTCTTGGGAGATGGTGCTAGGGTTCTTCCTGGGTTGCCTGAAGTACAAAGAAAAATACAGGAAGGGTAAATGTGAAACCGCTTTTGACATATTCATAAATAATTAACTATACGTTGTTTTTATCACCTGATTTTCACTCCCTATTTAGTTAATCACACCATCAGTAATCTGGAAATAGGGCTGGGCGATATCACCCAAAATTCATATCTCGATATTTTTTAGCTGGATGGCGATATAAGATATATATCTCGATATTTTTTTTAAAGCCATAAGTTAAGAACAAAAAGAAAGTTCTTAGTCACACTGTGTTCCAGATGACACACAGGCATTTTTATTTACATACAGCATAGAGTTACATGAAGAAATTACTCAAAAATAAATTATGAGCATTTATTAAATAATAATGCTCCATAAATAAAAGAAAACAATGTTTTTGTGCATAACAAAAAGCTCACAATTGTGCAGTCAAAATGTAAACTAACACACGCTGAGCATAATAACAAAGACAGATTTCCCAGCTGCTCTGTTCCCAACTTCTACTGCGTGACTAACAGCCTTGAGTTTGAAATCCTCTTTATGGCCCTTAAACACACACAATACGGTAATATTACGTTGAAGCACAGTACGTATCACTCATTGACTGTAGAAAACAGTCAATGGTATCACTCCGCGAGGCTCCAGACTACGGTAGCCGTAATGCTCCAACAATCCATCAAGCGCTGCAACTCCGTAGCTTACCAAAGTCGTACTAAAATATTTTTTTGACAGATTGCTGAGCGCTGTGTACCACCTAAAATCGGTTCGCGGTCAGTAAGCACAACCAGAATTCATACATAAGGCGCGCTGTCAACTTTTGAGAAAATGAAAGGATTTTAGGCTGTGCAGCGCCTGTGGGCTGCATGTCGTTAGCGTGGTTAGCTCGTTAGCGCAGTTAGCTCACTAACACGTTGACGCCGTCCAGCCCCACAACTCGCTAACGGAGATTTGCCGTGTCCATCTTGTCGCTGCCTGCGGGTAAAGGTATGGGGAGGAGGGGGAGTTGTGTTGCACAGAGACAAAAGTGGACGAAAGAGAGGCAAACTTGTGGCTCCACAAGTATAATTATAACGTAACATAGACTATATCGATATAAAGGATATTGTCACATCTTATATCTCGTATGAAAATATATCGATATTTTTTAAAAACTCGATATATCACCCAGCCCTATCTGGAAACCTATCAGTTTCCAGTCCTTGCCTTTGGATATCCTGGCTGTGACTTCCTGTTACATTGTCCTAGGATGATAGCTGACAGTTTCGATAGAGATTTTTGGCACGTGCGATCCCTATTTTGTTCAAGAACCGTTTACCTGCAAGTACCCAAAGCCTCCTCTCCTCTTCAGTCAAAGCTTTCTTGTCTATAGAGTCAAGATATTCATATGCACAATCTGTTTTTAGGGATCATGCCACATGTGGTTATTTTCTGAATATATTTGCCTACAAACTGACTTCATCAGTTTTAGCAAATGCTGCAATTCATAGTGTAGGTTTGATAACATAGAAAGGGAAGCACTTTTGAAGCTGAGTGTAAAATATCACCAGTCTTATGTCAAAGTCAGCTTTTTTTAAGCTTTTCCTCTCTGGTTCTTCTTCAGAGGGACTACAAAGCGACGTTTAAAGCTCTGGAAAAATCAAGAGC